GAGAAAAATTCCAAACATAAATTCAGGAAGATCTGGTGTTTTGGGCTCCACTGAAGAATTTATGTCTCTCTTTTTGACTTGGTGTGTGGCCAAGGTGACGTTTAACTCAGTCATGCGACGCCAGACGTCAATCTTGAAATATATAGGGGAAAAAAATAAGGATTGAGCGAAAAAAAATATCAGTGAAAAATAACGAAAAAAGATTCATGGCATTCTCGAATGGCTTCTTCCGGGATGCCTCTGCTTTTTTAATGTGTATTTGCATACTTTCTTATAATCGTAGAAAAATGAAGCCGAAAACGTGGAAGGGTTTTATGGTTGATGATTTTTTCCCAGATCCTCAAAATTTAACAAAAAAAAGTTCAGATTACGATATAAACTGACGCAAGGATCCGAATGTTCATAGAGTTTGAGATTCTTTGGCTGCTGGTGAGAGTTTGGTAGTTTTTTTAGGGTATTTTTTATGGAATGTTCTCAAGGCTGCATTCTTGGATTTGAGATTGCAGTACTTTCGAATACAAGTTTTTGGATCAAGTTTATTAGTATTTTTCAGGCATTGAACAATGTACAGTATTTTGGGTGCATAAACCGTTGCAATAAAGGTAATCCTTCTTAAAGTCAAACTCCAAGGGACCTCCCAGAAAATTCCCTCAAAGGATTTCCCAGTTGGAAAAGGTAATTTTCTTGATTTGAAAACATTGAGACATGTGAATTGGTAAAATCCTGGGATTTAAAATGCTTTGTAAATGAGTGGACAGAAGGTGTTGAATTTGGAGACATGAATCCCTTTTTTTTAATTTTTTTCTTCCCTTTTTTTTTAAATACATCAGGTAACATTTTTGTTGATATTTTGTTTCCTGTGCCTTTAAAATGATATCCAGAAGGCTTTTAGAAATTTCAGTAATACTCTTAGGAGTGAGAAGAGGTCTATATTGTTATCATATGTTGCCAAAATAATAAATTATGACAGAATCAACTGCATTGACGTCTCTTTGCAGAAGACTCAAACTTAGCTTAAACTCACAGCTAGGAATAAACTTCAATGAGAAGCATTAACTCTAAAGCTGGGTTCCTGAACTGAAAAGTAGCTTCTCTTACCAAAAGGTTGAATATATTTTGTACAGCAACAACCTCAACAGACTCTCAACAGACAATGAATACTGAGGAAGCGCTGGGGCACCTCCTTTATAGATTCATAAGAGACAGGTGAATGACCAGTCATGAACCACAGAAAGTAAACCTGATCCATACATGACCATTATACATGAAAGTAGGTGATTGGAATACAACATTTGACAATCACACTAGCAGGATATTTTATGAGTGTCCTGGGACACCAACCTTGGATGACAATATTGAAATTCTTACAAAAATTGACTAAAGCAAAAAATGTCAGATATTCATATTCTTATTCAAAGTCATATGCTAGAAAGCAAAAAATGTCAGATATTCATATTCTCACTCAAAGTCATATGCTAGAATGCAAAATTTCAGCAGCTTGTTTCATAATCAAAAATGAACTTGCATTTGAAATAATTATGGCGTCAATTAGTCATCCGAATATTCTGGAAGATTCATGCTTCTTGAAAATGAGTTCAATGTTTCAAAATTCGCAGTAATTATATTCCAGTGACTATTCATGTGATTATGTTCAGTTTTCTTTGAAGCATAAAATCTCCAGAATGCTGATAATCTTTCCACATAAAAAATATGGCGATGTAAAATTTCTTACACATTTCCACGAAAAAGAAAACTACAGAATGTTTGCAGTCAAACAGAAGAATGTCGTTTTCATTTGAAGGTCGTGAACAAAACTTGCTCATACTTGAATATAGCTACAGCACAATTTCTTGCGAAATTAAGCAGCATAATCCTGCACCACCGCAAAAAAATAATATCTGCAAAGATTAAAAAAACCTGGCATCCTCAAATGTTTAAATTTTAAATCCCGGGGCTTAAAATTTTGCAATGTTGCTATTATAAATTTCTTGATCTCTGCCAAGTATAACCAACGTAATTTCTTTTTGTGTTTCAGGAATCGTCTCATCTTCAGCATCCGAGAATATTTTTTTCTCTCCTCGGCGATTAAAGCCGGATTAAAGTTTCGTTTGTATTTTCCTTCTTTTCGGCTGGACAATTCTTGCCGGAGAAAAAAAAAGAATATTTGTATATTTCGTGAGTCTTACTCAATCCCGCGTACTGTATATATAAGCACTTCATCCCCGCGGGGATGATGAGCCCTTGACCCCCTGTAACACTTAGCACCAACTACTTCCCTGGGTCGACACTTGCGCAAGGCCAATAACACGAGGAACTCACAGAAAAATAAATGAAACTGTTATGTGACAAATGCATTTTTCCGGGATGAATTATGGGCCAATTACGAGCGTCTGCTTCCAGGTGATGGAACAGTTGAGATAAGACTTGAGGGAGTCATTTCCATGATGATAAAGGGGAGTAAATGATGAGACCCGCAATTTTCAAAAGATTTTCAACAGGAGCAATTTTGCCAAAAAATCTTTTCAGATGAGATTCCTTATTGAAATTAAAGTTGTTCAATTGATTGATATACAGGTTTGTTTGTTTGTTTTGCTGTTTTTTTGTCAGTGTTTAATTTTTCCCATAGATTTCATCTGGTTTGTCCATTCAACATATTCTGAAATGTCAAAAATAATTCAGTACATACATGAATGAATGAATGAACAGAATACTTTATTTGCTGCTTTTCAGCATTCACAAGGCACAACCAAGACTCTGGCATCCAAACCCCCTCCCCACCCAACCCAATTCCCCCCAAAGACATTCAATCACTTTAAAGCATGAAAGAAAGGACAACCCAATGACAAAAACAGAAGAGAGAACACACTCTGCAAAATAAAACTAGACATCCAACATGTATGCATACACCCACTCATCCAAATTTTTGATCTAATTGGTTTGCTGAACCTGGTCGCCTGTATATATTACCAATCGCAAAAGTTTCACCTAGTAAATGAGAATACATGACCCAAAGAATATTTGAGTGAATTAAATTTCTTTGTGAGGTCCACCCAGCAATTTCTTTAACATATGTTGCAACACCACCAGAACTGTGTCCCTTTTTGCTTATTTTCTTGCTGGGGATGCAGTAGGCTTTATTATATCCTTGATACTCTTTGACTTCTTGTGCATGAGTTTCTTGAATGCACACCACATCAAATTTCCTCAACCAAGGGAACTTAATGTTTCTTGAAGAGTTACAGTTCCATGTTCCAATCTTCATATTGGCTACATACATACTAAAAGAAAAAACACTGCTGAACCTCAATGACTCAAACATTTCTGAGTGAAATTTTTTAAAATTCAGGTCTGAATTCTCTCAGGTAAAATGCAGAAAAAAACCTCTCAAACTCAAAGGCTTCTCCTCTAAAACTTTCATATAACAAAATTTCTATTGGCTATAATACTTCATTGACACTTGAAAGAGGGAAGCAATAAAAATGTAACATGCGTTTTGAAGGCAGTGAAAGATGAACTGAGCAATTGAACCCCTGCCTTCAAGTTCAGCCTCCTGTCAACTCATTTAAAAAGGCAATGTAAGACCCAGAATATCCCTTTTTATAATTCCTACAAATTCTTGGATGTTTTATATGACAAAAATGGTTGTTTCCCTAACTTGAAATCATCCTATGTCAAAATGTTGGTACAGTATAAGTCTTTTTTTTTGCTGGTTATTTGAATTTTGACTGAGAGAGGTTTGACTGCATATTATTATTCAACAAATATATTTTCTGTGACCAATTCTGAACCAATAAAATTATCTGCTTTCTGCTGATGATGAACAGTTCAGACACAGTTGAAGGAAATCATTTTCCTGATGCAAATAATCCTTAAATATTTCTGTCTCTCTTTTTCAGAAAGGATTGTTGCATGAAATTGAAGCTGTTTGATTGATTGATGAACAAGCTTCAGTTGCCAATTAGCAGAGTTCAAATATTCAAAAAAATTTGGCTGATCCATTTGAACACATTCTAGCAATTAACAAGTAATATTCACAACCAATTTATTAAAATAATATACATTGCAGTAGGTAAAAATGCATGAATAATGAATTGGCATTGTTTTCTATGAATGACACAAATCCCAGCACATGGTAATTACAAACCACAAATTGAAGAACAAGATGCCCGGCTTATTTCCAGATAATTTTCAATTTACTGTACATATTTGAAAAGAATCTTTGTCCAGAAATTGTACAAAAACTAATGTTTCATTTGCATTTGGTCATCTACGATTTTGAAGAGAGCCTTACTATTATGTTTTGAGAATTCCAAATATTCATGATATTTCAGTAAAGTATTCTTTAGGTGTGAAATATTTGGTATGAGGAAAGAAGACATTTCATATGAAGACCCTTTAGTGTTTGCAGTTTTTTCTATTGTGGAAAATTTAGAAATCCTGAAAAGAGGATGTTCTCACTTCTTTCTGGTGTTACTTTTTAAATAGAGACCAAGGAAATCAAGGACTCGGCGGATCCGAAAAGCGTGAAGATTCCTCGGGGGGAAAATATTACGGCAGTTTGAAGGTCTTTTTGAGAATTTTTCTCATGCGTTTCTGAAATCGGTTTCGTATACTGGGATTTTTTATGAAGAAGAGCTGACCTAGGATTTAATGCTGAATTTCTTACGGCCACTTTTCTGCCGGAGGCACAATTTTCCACTTGCCTCGTGAAAACGTTTATGATGTTTGAGTCTTCTGAAACACTTGCGTCATCTCGCATTTCCACTTCTTTCCGAATACGCGTTCTATAGGGATTATCTCCTATTTATCTGCAAAAAAAGATTAATTTTCTTGAGAATCAACATAGACAGCGAGTGAGAGAGGATTACAAATAGTCTTGATCAGCAGGTAGTCAGGTACTCGGAATTTCATAATTGAAATAAATAACAACTCAATGCTTGTCAAGCATGGATGTTATTGTATTCTTTGAAAATCAATTTTCTGAAAATCTGAATTCAAACTATGTGGTGTTTATCAGGGACCCCTAGAGGTCGCCCGATAGAACCCACACACCTTTGCCACACAACAAGCCACGAACACCGAAATCGAATATCTAAAAACACACCTAGCCAACACTCCAAACAAGTCTTCCAAAAAACCCCCAACGTCAATAAAGAAAAGGGCGTTGGAGGCAATCAGCCCCAATGAGACAGTGGCGCTGTAACGCCGTTGCCAACGCCAATGTCTAAACGTTCCCCAGCCCAACGCCCCCATTCTTTGCTGGGTACATCACACCCACCGAACATATTCAACTACTCCTATGCCATCTCAGTGACCACGCATTTGACATTATTGACCGCCACAAAGACAAAACAACAGAAGAAGACTATCTCCGCATACTACACACACTATACCAACAATATGGCAACATTCAATCCCTTTGTCTTGCCCTCTACAACCAATTTACGGACCTCCAACCAACTGCAAACACACCTAACGCACTTGCAGACTATCTTGAGGACATCATCGCAATCACCGAACAATTAAACAATTTACGAACTAACATGCCACAGGTTCATACCCGTTTTTTGCCTCACATCAAGTCCTTCCTACACCAAGCCGGGCATTGGACCAATGTCTGCTTAGAAATGCAATGTCACCAACAAAATGACCCCGCCGACACCAACACATGGAACGAATATCCTGAAAATAGATACAAATGGATCAAAACATACCTTTGGTCCGATGACCCTGCTACAGCCACCGTTAACACACTTACATTCCTTATCCAACCCTCCTCATCATCAAACAAAAACAAAGATACATCCAAGGAGCGAAATAACCGCACTGAAACCTCCAACCGCACCAAACAATCCAGAAATTCCAAATCACCAGATCGCAACCAACGCCGGCGCTCCTCACCATCGAGACGACGATCCAGAACACCAACCCGTAGACACCGTTGTCAATCTCGCAGTCGCTCCAGATCACCACATCGTCGATCTCGCCAATCCACCTATTCATCAGCCAGAGAACAACACACATCCAATAATCAACGATACAGCTACAATTGCCCCTTTTGCAATGCTGCACACACATCAACTAACTGCAGACTCACCACTGAAGAAAGAATCACAGCCACAAACAATCAACAGCTCTGCTACAACTGCCTCAGCTCTCAACATCATTCCACGCAATGCCAAAGCACCGGCAGATGTCGCAACTGCGCCGGCAAACACCACACCGCACTCTGCAGAAAATCCAATAACACACGCAATAACAATCATCCTCCATCATCATACATTTGCCAAAACAATTATCATAACTTACGCCCCAACCCACCATCCCATGGAAATTACAATAACCGCCCACAAAACAACAACCGTCCTCCTTACATCAATCGTCCACAATACAATAACCGTCAATACAACAACCCACGGTTCCAAAACAATCAAAACCAACAACAAAATAACCGGCCACAACAACAAAATAATCGAGTGAACCTCACCCAGCTTGTACAAGAGATCCACTCTCGCCTGCCAGCCCAAGCCGCACCTGCAGCCCAACCAGCACTACAACCTGCAGCACAACCAGCCGCACCTGCAGCCGCACCTGCAGCCGCACCTGCAGCCGCACCTGCAGCCGCACCCGCATGACTAGCACTTTCCTGCTCCACCTTCACGTCATCCGCATATTCCCTCCTTGAAACAGCTGCAGTACACCTTTTTCCTCATGAAGAACCCGTCTACGCCCTCCTTGACTCTGGCTCTCAACTCACAATGATAACACAACGCCTTGTCAACCTCCTCCGTCTACCAACAAAAGAAGGAGATATCACACACACAATCTCAGGAATTGGAAATGCAACAATCACATCTAACACAATTACCCAACTTATCAACTCACAATGATAACACAACGCCTTGTCAACCTCCTCCGTCTACCAACAAAAGAAGGAGATATCACACACACAATCTCAGGAATTGGAAATGCAACAATCACATCTAACACAATTACCCAACTTCGCGTACAACACCGTCAAAAAGATTTCTCCATCTTCACAACCGCCATTGTTGCACCTCTTCATGAACCCTGGACAGCAGAAAACCCACACAACCTCCAACACCTAAATGAATTCCGAAATCTCCTCGCTGATCCACGCCTCATCTCAGCCTCCAAAATTGAATTTGACATCATCCTGGGGGGCAAAGATCTAGTTCAAATACACGCTCCATACACAGATTCATACTGGAATAACTCGACCTTTCAAATCATACCAACACAATTAGGACTTGTTGCCAGAGGCATCTGGGAAGCCTCCTCACCCACATACACTACATCTTATATCAAATACACGCTCCATACACAGACTCATACTGGAATAACTCGACCTTTCAAATCATACCAACACAATTAGGACTTGTTGCCAGAGGCATCTGGGAAACCTCCTCACCCACATACACTACATCTTATCGCAGCCATCTCACACTTGGCCAACCCAATAATACATTTGATGACGAACTCTCCAACACAATCATCAAGTACCTACACCAGGATTATGTGAACATCCTTGGGGATGATGATGAACTCCATCCATATCAGGATGAACAATACCTGCAATACCTCCAAAAAATCACCATCAGCCCGCAAGGCCGCGTTGTAGCTCCACTCCTCAAGTCACACCTATACCCTGACTATTGCACACCAAACGCAATCACTGCCTCTACACGCAGCAAATCCGTCATCCGACTCTTGGAGAAAGGCGGACCCTTGGCGACAGCGTACACCGAATTCTTCCATCAATGGATTGAAGACGGCATCATTAAAGAAACTACACTTGAAGAACTCCAAAATCACGGAACCCCATACACCGAACTACCACACCATGGCGTTGCCCGCCCTGAAAGCGCCAGTACACCTTTACGCGTTGTAATGGCTGGCAATGCATCAGACAAAGGAAAATATTCATGTAATCAACTCTTCATCTCCGGTACAAACCTCTTACCCGAAATCATCAAAATCTTGCTACGCTGGCGATTTACGCCGTATTTCGGAACCGCAGACATCAAAAAAGCATTCGTCCAAGTACAACTTGCCGAAGAAGATCAATGGGTACTCACAATACGCTGGCCCACAAAACAACCTAACGGCAAATACCAACCTACTTACTATAGATTCCTACGCCTCCCCTGGGGCATTAATTGCGCCCCTTTCATACTCAACGCTGCCGTCCGCTACCTATACCTTCAAGCATTGAAAAACAACATCCTCACTCCAGCTGAACAAGAAGAGCTCAACGACAACACTTACGTTGACGATATCTTTGTCACCGGTACAACTCCAGAAGAAATACACACAAAACTCCACCATGCCCAAAAAGCACTAGCCTTAGGGGCCTTTCAACTCACAAAGCAAAAAATCTCACCACAACCAGACAACCCTAATGACAACACCTACAAAGTCCTCGGAGTACCATATGACCCTGTCACTGATCTAATTGCATCTTCAGGGGCTTCTCTCCAAAAATTCCTCGCTCTCAAAACCCTTACATACAGACACATCGCTGGCTTTGAAGCCAGACTTTTCGACATCCTTGGCATCGTTGCACCTTTTACGGCACATATCAAAATACAACGCCAAACATACACTGATGCCCATCCCAACACATCATGGGACACCCCTCTCACACCTGAAGAAACAACAATTTGGCGAGACATTGCCCAACAAGCGCTGCAATGCCACACCCTTGCCATTCCACGCCTCGTCACTTCTACACCCTTTGAACCCGGATCCATACACATCTTTGCTGATGCAAGCAGCAAAGCCCTTGGCGTTGCAATCTATTTTACAACAATTAAACCACCATTTACAACCACCCTCCTCTGGGGCAAGTCAAAACTTGTCCCCAAAAAACAACGAGAAGAACCCAAACGCAAACTATCATCGCCCCGCATCAACCGCTTGGAGCTCTCAGCAGCTGCCTTTGCTATCCGCCTCTACGCCATCCTCAAAACAGCCTATGACACCACCCCATACACAATTCACTTTTGGACAGACTCCGCTGTTGTTCTCAACTGGATCCAAAATTCCGAATCCAAACCTACAAAATACGTAACAACGCGAACGCAAAAAATTCTACAACATTCCCAACCATCACAGTGGAAACACCTCCCCAGTGAAGACAATCCCGCAGACCTTGCATCACGTGGGTGCACCGTCCACACTCTCAAAGACGCCACCCTCTGGTGGAACGGACCATCCTGGCTTTCACACCCACCCTCATGGCCTCAACAACCAGTATCAACACAAACCTTCACTTCAACTGGGGGGCAATCCTCCAAAAAGGAACAATATCTAAAAGAACGCTCCATAGTACTTGGACTCTTCAAAACCGCTGACACCTGGACCAAAGTCACACGCATTATTGCAGGCCTACACCGAATCCAACAACGCGCCAAAAACCTCAAAATCACATCCAAATCTACCAAACGCAACCCCAAAGGAAAAACTTTACAAACAACCACACAACCATTTACACCAGAAGAAATTGAAATCGCACACCTTGAAGGTATCCGCACAATGCAAAAATATTACGATCACAAAAAATGGCGTCTCTTACAATCCGGACAACTCATCAAAAACAGACCCGACCTCCGCTGGGACCCTGACAAGAAACTCATCACATCCATCAGCCGACAAGCATTGGATACTAATACAACAATTCCTGAAACTCACCAAGCCCGAAGACTCCTCATACACCTACCTGTTCCCAAAAACAACCAAACTCCAACACTACTACGTGCCTTCATACGCAGCCAACATCTCAAACACAAACATGGATCAACCATGCTACTCCAACAAGAAATCACCAAAGAATACTGGTTACAGGGGGGCAAACGCATCATACGAAACATCATCAAAGAATGTCACTGGTGCAAAACAGCCAACATCTCAAACACAAACATGGATCAACCATGCTACTCCAACAAGAAATCACCAAAGAATACTGGTTACAGGGGGGCAAACGCATCATACGAAACATCATCAAAGAATGTCACTGGTGCAAAAGATTCAATAACCCATCTTTTACACAAACCACCGCCCCTCTACCAGAATTCCGATACACCGGACACCGACCATTCAAAACTGTCGGCATCGATTTTGTTGGACCCTTCAATACACCAACAGAGAAAAACATCTCCATCTGCGTATTTACCTGTCCTCTAACACGCGCTGTTCATTTAGAACCCGTTGACACCCTAGACCTTGAATCCTTTATGGGAGCCTACCACACCTTCTGCAATCGCCGAGATCTCCAGCCCCGTAACATTGTCTCTGACAACGCCGCCACCTTTAGAGCAGCTTGGCCACGCTTCCTCCGCGCCAACGAACAAGAATTAATAGAAAAATTCACCACTAAACGAGTCAAATGGCACTTCAACGCTGCACGTGCCCCCTGGTGGGGCGGATTTTATGAACGCATTATGGGCATGATCAAGAACCGCCTAGCCCGTTCATTCCGAGGAATCCCCTTCTCCAACCCCAACACCGTTACCGCCGCAATTACCTTTGTTGAACGTGTTATTAACTCACGACCTTTAACATATTTACCCTCTGACCGAAATGATCCAATTGCCATTACACCCTCCATGTTCATCAACTCACCTCAAGCCAATTACACCTCCAACCCAGACTTTGATCCCTACTGTTACGGCCCAAATCCAATCCAGTTCCTTGAATACACAACACGCGATGGCATCACCAAACAAACACAATTTCGTATCGCCATCATCCGAGCTCTCTGGAAAACATTTTACGACGGTTACATCACAACGCTTCGCCAATTTCCCTCCACAAAACAACCCAAACATCTAGAACACCTAGAACCTCTTGAAGGCCAAATTGTCCTCTTAAACCAAAAAGCATTCAAAAAAGACACACCTATGGGCCGCCTCAAATGGAAGTTATGCCGCATCGTCCATGTTCACCGCAGCAAACGAGATGGAAAAATCCGAGCAGTTGATGTCCTAACATCCCGCCGCTACAACCATGATGGCACATCCACTCCTCACATCCTAAAAAACCAATCCATTCAAAATCTTATTCCATTAGAAATTCCAGACCGAACCCCAAACTCAAGCAACAAGATCAACACCAACAATGCTTCAAACAATTCTCTTCGCCAACCGTACACAAAATGAACAAACACCCGTATTGCAAAGTACCCAAACTCATCATTTCAATGCGTAAACAAAGTATTAATCACTGACCCCATACATCTCCTCCTCCAACCTTTCCACGAACAAAAAATGCCAGCAACCCCCTTCCCCCCAAATCTTTACACATCGATACCCGCAATACGCATTACAACTGAGATCATCGATCAAACGGACAACTCCTACACCACCCTTTTTGCATCACGAACTTCGTCATCCAACACCAACTGTCGACCACCAAGTCCAACGACCCAGTATGACTTCTGGTGCACAACAGCCACCACCTTCTCCACACCTGTTGCCTTCACTATCACCACATCTCCCGGGACAAATCGACCATCCCTCCCACGCGGGCGAGTAATGGAGACCACCGAATCCGTAGCAAACGTCTCATCATATCCACCGTCCAACAGCGACTCACATCTGCAATATACACTTTGTCAACACCTCCATCTCCAAAAGAATACAACTTCACACTCACTTATCAAATGGGTTCGCCTTAATACCCTTTCCCCCGAACTCCACCTTTCCAACGGCATCAAATAGACAAGGACGATAACATTGACGGACAAAATGCCTGTGGTTTGAATTTGGCGGCTTGCCCTCCACCGCCGTCCCATCATCCTTCCACATGGGTCCTTCTCCAGGACACAGCAAAGTTTCCTTTAACGGATCACCCGCCGTTATCGTCACCGCAAACGAGATCGCCGCCGCATGATCCCTTGCAAACCAGATAAAGGCACGAGGATTGATATGCCCAAATGATGAAAACGACGAGTATGACACCTTCACGTATCTCGTCAGATAGCTCAATGGGGTAGGCAAAGCCCACCAGCCCGGGCACGTATCCGTCCTTCCGATAACACCACCA